GTCTTTTCATGGGTAACTCTTCATTCCTCTCTTCATCACAACTGTCTTGAGTACCAGTGTCCCCTAATATCTGTAGCAGTCAGAATCATTCTATTCACCTTGGTTTTTATGAGCTTTTTCTGGTAGAAGGAAATACAAAATAAAATAAAATTCATTATATAATAAGGGTATTGTATTTTCCTCAATACAGTACTTGTTCCTCTATTTTCTGTAGCTTTCATTTTTTTGTCTACCAATTCCTCTGATTAGGAATTGGATATTTGCTTGTTTTCCTTCGATGTCCTTCATAGGATCCTAGGATAAGTCAGGCTGCAAGGGACCTACTGAGGTCTCTAGTCACATGTTAGGAATAAGATCAGGGCTTTATCTAGTCTGGTCTTTAAAACGTCAAAGGAGGCAGACTTTACAATCTCTCTGGGCAGCCTGTGCTGCCTGTCTGACTGTTCTTACATTAATTCTGCACTTGTTTGACTTGTTAATAAGTACATTGCTCTACTATTTAGAGTAAATGAATAAGACAAAGAATAAAAGATTTTGTGTTTCCTCCCCAAGATTAGTTTCAGAATGAGAAAAATACAGAGAATTAGCTACCCATTACCAGCACATGATATATTACTGACAGAACTAACACACCTGTAGACTCGTACTCTCACTGGTAGAAATTAGGACTTCCATATTTCAGAACAGTTTGAAGACTGCACCTGTCTGGGCTGGCAGAGCAGCCTGGTGCCCATCTCTAGTTCTCTGTTGCAGGGGGATGAGTTTTTAGAGCACTTCCAATAGATCCATTGAAAATCAGAAAGAGTGACAGGTCCTATTTATTTTTTCTGATTGTTCCATTGTTTTTTATTGATTTGCTTCTTTATGAAGAGGATAAATGGCGCTCCCTTTTATGGAGGCAAGGTTACACTTTCCTGGGGAAAAGTTTGAGGGACAGAAGTGTCCATCCTCTAGTGTAGATGGTAGAGAGCAAGAGTCTTAGCCAAAGGACCCAGGAACCTGGAGTTTATGCAAAACCTGACAGGCTGCAGAGAAGCACAGAGAAGAAATAAACAAGCTTTGGTGGTGATGAAAACAACTTTTTGGGATCAAAGAGTACTTGGCAGTTTGCTTCAACTTGGAAATCAATTTCACTGGTAACCAAACTTAAAAGGAAGGACAGGCAAAGGGAGAGGTGCTTATATCCATTGTCTCTGATCTAGTTGCTTCAAGTGTTCTGAGTTATATATTCCCTATTAAATGTAATTAAATCAGTTTTTTTAGTGTAAAAAACTTTTGTCATCTTTGGCGTGGTGTCTGTAAGGAAAAGGTATAGACAGATGGGTCTCAGTCCTTTGGCTGGCTCTGGGTCCTGTCACAGAAAATGTTAGCACGGAACATGTTTTTTTGCTAAAATTGGCTTGTTTAATTTGACTTGCTGACTCATTTTTCCAGCTGGTCTGTCATTCTACTCAATACCAGATGAGGCAATAGGAAAAAGAAAACTCTTTTGAGTGTTCCACCCTCTTGCCAAACCATGTAACAATAAAACCTCCAATTTTCATTGCAGTTCTTTATCTCTGTTAATTATCCAAGGAACAGTAAATCAGATATATTGTCCTCTGCTTGTTGTCAATAATTTAAATTGTAAGTTCTTTATAGATTTGTTGCAGATTTAACATGCTGCTTCTTTTCCCTAAGTTACATACAATTTCACAACTTGAATCCAATGCAGTGTTTCATTTTTACGTTTGAGATCAAATGCTAGACAGTCCAGTCTAATTGACTCATGTTTTATACACACACAAGCAAACCCGCATGACTCTGTCTTAACTTAATTAGGTACTTTTAATACAAAAGGGACATCAGGTCACTCAACTACCTAACTAATGGCTTTCAGTGGGGTTTTTCTACTGCACCATAATTTTTGAGAAGAACGTATTTTGAATCAAGTGTTCAGTGGGCACTAGACTGGGAGCAGTGGTAAGTGCAAAATGAAGAACAGGAGTATAGTAAGCAGGGACCTTGTGAACTGAGAGATACCAATAGAAAATAATATTGTGATATTCAGCTTAGAAAAAGTAGATAGTAATTACATAGAAACAGATCCATTAGAAGAGTTATAGCTGACGTTTTGTAAAGGAGGTCAAGAACAGGGGATGGCAAATGTAACTTGAATTTACAATGTGATACAGTATTTAAAAGGTAAATGAGATACAGACATATCAGGTGAAGTCATGTTCACACTGTCATTTCAAGATAATAGAAGGCATTTTTTCATCCGTCTCTAGCCATATAAACTACGAGAACAAAATTTATCACATGTACAGTCAGGCCTTACCACTCTGTGTAACCAGAAGTGTAACTGGCTTGACTCATTACTGAGAAACAACCCTGTATGGGATAGTTTTACCATTTTTTAAAAAAACTTTAGATTTTGTCTATATTTAAAGAAAAAATTGAGCACCTGAATTAGCATTCAGAGCAGCAGAGTAGTTGCTTTAATCCTGCTTTTAACTGTAAAAACAAAGGGCTTGGATGGATAAAGCAAACCAAAACATGCTGTTAATTAAAAATGACATGTAGCACAAAGCTTTGTTCACCCTTCTTGCATATAGGGGTCAACACTAATAAAGTTTCACCATTTGCTAGTTGCTGATTGATGATGTGGAGCTATTCCTGCAGCTTTTAGTTAATATCTGTGCTCTGATTATGTCACATTTTTGTTGCTTATTTGACAAATGAAGGTATAGGTAGTAATTGTACATGCTAAATAATGTGATGAGAATTTCTATAAATAATAGTATACAAAATGAGCAATGATCAGTAGTTTACAAGGAGTCTGCAGTTTTATATTGTGAATATTGTTTAAAGAAAATGTTACCTGCAGTTATAGGCTTCATGCAAATCAATTGTATTATGTTTTAAACATAGTCATCAAGTTCCATAGAAAGGAATTCTGTCATGATCTGTGATTTGTAAAGTGAAGTCGTAAAGTTAAAGATCCATAAAGAAAGAGATGACTGAAATGGAAAAGCAGTCTGGTCCTTGGACATTCCTTCAGAGGGACAGGATAATAGTGAACAGCTTATTAAAACTGTTGAGAAATTATCATTCCCATCTTTCACAGAAATGCTCAGCTTTGGAGCAAAATATTCAGCCAGAAGCTGAAACATAGTATTGATATTTTTTTCTGTGTATTGTAGGATTTTTAATATTTATACAGCAATACTGAGTGTTTGGTGTTTTTTTTTTCTCATTCAAATAAAACAATTTTCATGAGAAATAATTTCAACTGAAAAGCCTGTTTTCAGTACAAAACTTGGATGAATTTTTCTGAAGCCATGACTCGCCTAAGTTGCTGAGATAGATTGGAGTTGCATTGTCTAAACATAATAGAGTTAGGCTTATAATACACACAGCTTTAATGAATATTAAGAGCTTAACCTTAAATATCTGAAGCTCAACCCTGTTATGAAATTTTGTTGAACTAATTTAATGATTTTACATGAAAATGTCTGAAATTCTGAGCAACATGAGTGTTTTTCTGTGGTATTGGAAAGTTTAATATTTTTTCCTGAAATTATTTGCTGTTTTGAATTGTTTTGATTTCTACTGTCATGCGTATGTTCATTTTAATTCATTGGTAAGCACCTAATAATGATAGGAGATTATGTCAACTAACCTAACCTGAACAGGTATAATTACCACCTTAGGGGAAAAAAAAATGTTTCATGGATGGTAACCAATTTAAGAGCTTTGAAAGATGTATGAAAGAGCATTCTTCTTGAGTTCTACTTCATGGACCAAATGATAGGAATATATAAGCTATCATAAAGAGTGTATCTATCTCAGTGTATCTATTATGACTTTTTTTAAAATGGAAACTTCACAGTTGTCTTTTTCTGTTCAAATGTATGAAAAACCCACATATCATTAACTGGAGAGTCACACCTAATTAGTGACATGTAATTAAGTTATATGCGTTGGTCTCTTAACTTGCATAGGTACGTGTGTTCACATTTTCTGTTGGTCAACATAATTATGACAAAGGACCTATACAGTGGATGGCCTGTGAAAATAAAGGTACTGTGTTTTTTCTTTCAGACTATTCTTTGCTAGAGCTTTGGATATGTGATATCTTTATTAGTCTCTAAAAATTACTGATTTTTTTTCAGACTGATTTTTAGTTTTATTGTATCTTTTAATAAAACTTTCATGAAATAATGTGCATATGAATATATATAAAGATATAAGAATAAGCCTGCATATTTATTTCTGATTATTTATAACTTTATACTGTAAGAAAAAAAAAGAAGTATTTTTCTTAATAATAAGATGTTATGGTTCAGTTCTGAGAAATCTTGTAATAGCCATCTATGAAAAGATGAAACTGATGACAGATAAGAAATTAAGCAAAGCTGGTTTATATTAAGAGGTCTGGACAAAGGGATTTCTTGTTTGGTTGGTTGGCTGGTTGGATTTCTTTCTGTTTTTTCTCCAAAACTTACAAGGGACCAGATGACATGATATATTTTTCCCCTTTTTGATGAAAATATCAAAATCATTCTTGTTGTGATTTCTCAGCTTCTAAGAGCATCTTACAATTTTTAATTTTATCCTGATTTTCTTCATTAATGAAAAAAAAAGAAGTAAAAAAGGTGAAAGTAAGGAAGTAAAATGCTTTCTCCTAAAATTTCTACATGAAAAATGCGGACAGAAACATTTAAAAAAGAGTGTGAGAAAGAGGTGTCTGAAATACCTTTCAGTAAAACTATGGAACAAGAGCTAAAAGATACATACAGGTAAATAGAAAATGGAGAAATTATCAAACACTATTGTCAGTATTTTAAACAGAGCAATTTCCTGACTGGAAATGTGAAAGTACTTTACAAACCGGTGAGAAGCAAGAGGTGAGAGGTGGGGTAGATTACAAAGGATCTTGAAAATTTAGACTGCAGGGAAAGATACCAAGATACAGTTCTCAGGCATGAGAATAACGTAAACCACAGATAAGAGAAAGGTAAAGGTACAGAAAAAAAATTGTATAGAAGAATCTGTATCCTGTATGAACAGCATATGTACTGTAATCTCATGAACACCTCCATGGGCTGGGAAGTTATGCAGAAGATGCGACAACTTCATGAAGAGCATATTGTATTGTCAGGTAATTACAAACAATCAATGAGAGGGTTTTTTTTGGGCAGGGATTTTTTTGTCTAACATCTTTGTATTGCTGAATACTATGTGCATGTGAACTCAATTGTTTTAAAACAAATGACGACCAGCTGGTTTAAAGCATAACCACCCACCTATGTCATCTTATTATCGAGGCAAAATGATCATAATCTTCAATCCAAATGTTGTGATTATTTGTTTGAACATCCAAAGAAGCAAAGATTTATTTTGTTTTTCCTTAATTAAAATCTTTAATTTATTATCAAGTCACGCATTGTTTACAGCAAAGTAAATGACAAACCTTAGGACTCTTACCTCTCCAGTCCACCACACCTTCCTTCCAATTTGACTTACTTGGTCTGAAACTGGATCTCAGTACCTGTCCTCACTCTTATTTGGTGCAGATGGACAACATTTTCAATTCAAACAAATAAGTGCTAGAATCAGCACTGAATAAAGACATTTCTAGTGTTTAGTTAGAAGAAATACCCATTAGATTTTTTCATTCTTTCCACAGAGTGGCTGATATTTTTATACTATGAGTACTATTGTGGCAAAGTGTAGCTATACTTATATTTCTATATGTGTTCAGCATATAATTATGTTGCTGTCACAGTGTATTAAAATGACCATTAAATATAGTTGTACATGAGAATAAATGAGAATCCAGGAGAACAAATCTCAGCTTTAAATCCAACATACAAAAGAAACACATTATATGCTCTCACTGCTTAAAAGTGACTAGCTTGGCCTATAAGGTGTGGTGACCCACCATATGTGGCCACATGTGGTGGCATCTACTAGAAAAGTATTCCTTAATTTCTATAAACGTTAAATTAGAAATTACCAGATTAATGAATTTCCTTGAAATTAAGAGACTAGCTATATATTATAGTAAGATGGCATTATTTCTGTTCAAAATTTTAGGTTATTATTATGAAATTCCATCCATTGGAGCCATAAGAATAAACACCCAGGTAAGTGTATTGGTCAAATCCAGATACAGTTATAACACGAAGAAGTAGAGTAATTCCTGTTTTTAAGTCTGTTGCATTTTGCCTCTGTATACACCACATTAAGAACAGAGAAAAAAAATAAGGCTTTCTTTTACATGTGAAGGGATTACTCTGTTATTCTCATTTATTTTCTTTTCTAGTGGTTGTAGTGAGACTATTTAAGATGTGATCCCTGTTTCCCTGGCTAACTGGCCCACAGCAGCTTGCATGCATACTGTTCACACTAGCATTCTCTAAAGCAGGCTGACCTTGTGCACACAACAGCATTTGAAATGATGTGTATCCTGCAGACCCCTGCACAAGGACTATGCTTTGGGCTCAGTTTTCCTCCTGGCCTTACATGGTCCATCTTTGACCTTAAGACATGGCAGCAATTTTTTTATAAAGTTCTATATACTGAGTTATTTTTTATAACGTTCCTAGACATTCATAGTCTGTCTCTTGCCATACTTGCAGCAGGCTTGTATTATCTGGAGAAGGCTGTGGATGTGTGTGAGGGCACAACCCTGCTAGAGTATCTTAATTCAACTGGGCAGAAGCAGCGACCTGGTACAATAGGATTGATTCCTGGGCTGATCCAAGCAGTCTGGGAGAGACACAGCTTTTTTCCTTCAAAAAGGATGCAGGAACATTTTAGCAGACAATTAAGGGCACAGGACTCAGGCATTATATGATGTGATCCAAACTGACAGTGTAGATGAACAGATACTCTTTCCAGTTGTTTGAAAGTGTTCACATGTCCAGAAAACCAGGGAAGTACACAGCAGTTCTTTGTCCTTCCAAGGCCAGGCATCACATTTTTTGGCAGGAAATGAGAGTCCTCTTTTTTTGGCTTCCATAGGAGGATTCTGTTAAACTCTTCCAGATAGTGTCTGGCAAGAAATATCCCTAATATGACCAGACAAATAGAAAAGTTTGAAGACTGAAACAAGTTTGATGGCATCCACTCCCAAACCAGACCACAAGTCTGACATCTCGTAAGGTCACCAGCCAAAGCTGTAGTCCCAGACTGAAGGAAGGCAGGGACCATTAGGTTTTATGATTCTGATTTTTTTGTTTCATTAGAAGTTATGCAAGTTATTGCGGTAGGAGCTTAACATACACCCAACTGTGACACCACTTACTCTCCATTGGCCACTCTCTCTTATTGGTTGAAAGTTCTGCAGTGTGCTTGTAATTTCATTATGGCATTAGCAGTTAAATTTGGGAAAAAATAGTTGTAATTCTCACATTGTGGAAAGAGCACTGGTTATGGATGTGTAAGATCCATGTGACTGTGGCTGTAATAGAGGGATTACCTTGGCAGTAGATAAACTGAAGACTGAATAGTCAAGTAATACAACTTTAAAGAAGTCATTAAATACTACTCCTATATTGATGATGAATTTTTACCTTCTTTTTTTAATCTTTTAATTGTTTTTATTTCATTATTGTTTATTTTCATGCTGTTTGTAGACTCTGATCTAATAACTGCCTTCTGATGAATTTATTACACTTTTTGGCAGGAATATCTGGATGTTTTGGGCAGACCAATGGTTTTAGCTGGAGAGAAGGCCAAACAAGTCCAATGGACAAATGTCTATCTGGATGCTCTGGTATGATCTGTGTTTACTTCTAGTAAAGTAAGAATCTTATCAGACCAGTAACTATTTGGTTCTATTTTCCACAGTCCTGAGGGCTAAATTTCCTGCAGTTCCAAATACCATATGCTTGCATTTCAAGCACCTGTACAGTTTCCTGAACTGTCTAACATGCTGCTCATTGCTCACCCCTAGTATCCTCTTAAGCATCCTAAACTTTAACAGAGGAAAGGAATTTATCCTAGACACAGATTTTTAAGTGTAGGTCATTGTTGCCCTCAACTTAATAAAAGAAAAAAGAACCAAATAGTTTTCAAGTGCTGTACCTCTGCTGCAGTAGAGGTTATTTGTTATGTTACGGGTGAGGAGTTCTTTTTTCTTCCACATCCATGCTCCCCTCAAAAAGTATTCCGGGTAGAATGAAACCTGTCAATGTTACTTGGTACATTTGTACAGATTTTGAACTTGCAACTTTAAACTGTCATGGTTGTTGTAATTACTTGCTTCCTCAAAGTACTGATTTGTTTAATTGGACAGTGTATATAATGGGGAAATAAACAAAAAGATATATGAAATTATTTCCTTACTGCTGAATTTATCAGTTCAGTCTTGTAAAACAAACATCTTTAGGAAACTATGAAACACAAAGTATTATTAGCAGCAGTCTAATCTGTTGCTTTAGATAACTTTCTTCTGAGTAACTCTAACTAGGCAAAAATTACTGCAAAATGGTCATCTGGAGTCATGTACTTATCCAAGGTCACATGGTCATCTAATGTCATGTCAAAATCTACTTCTTCCTGTCAGTCAGCATTACTGTAAAATTTTTATAAACACATCATGGAACTGAATGTGACACAGAAACACTAGTTTTTCATTGGAATTTCAATGGCCAGTAGTTCATTAAACATGTTTGCTTAGTTGCTGTTGAGGTACTTACTGGAAACATAAAGGATGTTATGACAAAAGTTCATATGTTCTGTACATATCCTGTTGTAAAGTCAAAGCTAAATTTGTAACTGGAATTAAAGGAGATCTCTTTAATGAAGTAGATCATGTGATACCTGCAGACTTCTGTGTGTCACTTTATTATTTTCAGTGGGTTTATTCAGTCTTTCCTTCAAGCTTTTCTCCATTCACCTGCTTTATATGTGTTTGTGTATATATAATTATATCATAACCTGTTATTATTGTCCTCTCCTGTTTTTGGGAGGAGAGGGTATTATCCCCTATACATACCCCTCCTGTTTTGTATGTATCTCTTCAGTCTCCTTCTAAAAATATCCTTCTGTATCTTTTCTTCTGTTTCATCTTCATTTTCTGCTTCTCTTATTCTCCTAAAAAGCCCACTTCTCCTTCTCTTTGCCTTATTTGTAACATTACTAACTCTGATCTCATCACCTTTTGTTTGACACATAAACTTCAGTTTATGAAGAATGGTTTAAAATACAAAAAGGTTCTATTAGACTGGGCAAATGGAGAATGAATTTCATCAAAGTGAATTAATAAAGTTTTTTTGGGGGTGTTTTTTTGGATTTTGTTTTTTGTTTTTTAACAAAACAAAAGGAGGAAAGGATATGGTTCCTCAATAAAATACATGGAAGGAGCAAGCATGGAGTGGGGGTGGAACTTGGAAATTTGAAATAAACCCCAAACATTAGCATAAAAAAAGGTAGAAGTCTCCCTTTATATTTAGAATTGAATATAGTACTTTTCTGGCTACCTAAAGATGTTTCTCTGGATCCTACTCTAAGTATGAGTTGTGACTGTTCATAAAGGAAAACTGAATTTCTTGTATCTTCCCAAATAAGTGCAATTCCTTGTCTCAGTACCTGAAGAGACTTCATGATTTTGCAGAACCCATGGTGGACATTATTGCAAGTAATTGAAAAGTAATGATGATATGAAAAGTAGTAGTATTACCTGATGGATTTTTCTGTTGCTTTTGCCTGTATGTGTTTGTTGCCTGTCTAATTGCTATCTTTAAGTTTGATTTGACTTTCTCCTTTTTTTACTTCTGTTTTTTTCCCCCTGCTATCTGGAGTTTTTAGTATAGTGGGTACTATAGCTGTAAACATGTTTAGCGTTTTTTAAACTATTATATCCTACATTCTTGCACACCATCTATTTAAAAAAAGTAGTTTATTACTCTCACTAATGCATGGACACAAAAAACCCCTAAGTTTTATGCATAAAATCAATGAAGTATTTTAATGCTTTTACAAACTAAAAGTCAGTACTCTAATCTCATGTTTAGATACAGTAATCCCTGGATTGTTCTAATTTTTTATAGTTCAATATTTGTTATTTAACTAAAAAGTCTTTTTCTCTCCTCTCTATATGGTTATTTCCTAGGAGCTGGGCCTTGTGATTACAGGAACCCTACCTGTCTTCAATCTAACAAAGGAACAAAATGGGAAAATAGTAAGCTGTTACACAAAGCAGAAAAAAAACCCCAGTTATTTGAATTATATTTAATGCTAAACTCCTTGAATAATGTGTATTTCCATAGAGCTTTCTACAGCTGAATTGACTTGTACCTCATAAACAAAGGGGTCATCTCTAGTTACCTGATAGCCCCCGGGAACAAAAAAATGCAGATTACCCTTTTTTGTAGTTCTGAGTTGCAGGGTGTGACATTCCTTGATCTATCTCTCTGACCTGGTGGCAGTGGGAATGCACTAAGTGCTCAATAGATGGGAAGCAGATTATTATATTATTCAGGCCTTGCTGAGAAAGGAATACCCAGGTGAATTTTTAACAAATCTGTGAAGCTATGACAGGGTGAAGCTATTTCAGGGTAAAAGGCAATGATGTAGAGAATTTAAACTAATTCATTGTAATAATAATAGTACTGTGTGCTTAGATTAAAATCTTGGTATTAGACAAATACGATTGCCCATCCCTATTTACTGTCAAATATGGAATCAATTGCTGTCATCACAAAATCAAAATGTTGCTTTATTAAAATCCCACCCAGAATATGATTTACAGAGTATGGTAAAATACTGTACATTTGGTGTGGTACTCATCTTCATCCAGGTCGAAATGTACAGAAGTTTAGAGAAGATATTCTTTGATTCGCTTTTTCAGATATTACATGGACTCAGAATGAATAAATACAAATTTGATCACTGCCATTTCTTTTATTTACTTTCAGAATAGTTCTCTTAGTTTCCCCTTAAAAACAAAACAACAAATAAGGTTTCATAATCTTATCTACATGATAATGCCTGGGATTCACTGAGTGTGGTTGCAAAGTGAGTAACTACTGAGTATCAAAGGATGGCTTTCTGAGAAGTAAAACAACCATGGTCTAGTACAGAGGAACAAGAGAATTAGAATCTGCCCAACTTATATCTGTACCTGAACTTAAGGTTACAGACTGCAAGATGCATCTTCCAATACATATTCCAAATTTATTTAACCTGGAGAAGGGATTCAGGTGATACTGTGTAAATGACTACCTTCCTTTTCTGTAGTAGGAAAATAAATTACAAGTGAAGTAAATGTGGTGGCTGAGTCCCTGATTTCAAGTGCTGATGATTGCTGTAGTCACTGGGTTTTTGTTTTGTTGTTTAGGGCTTATTTTTCATTCATCATTATACCACAGTTAATTGTTTTGGGGTCTCACTTTTCAATTGCCCACCCTAAGCATGCAATAGTAGCTCTATATTGGTGCTAGTAATTTATTATCTACATTATTGGCAACATTAATGCATTGCTTTTGCTTTTACCTATTTTGTTCTTACATTTATTGTTTATTCATCCAGGAAAGCATCCATATTCATCTTCCTAAACAATTAGCATATTCTATACTAAATTCTGAATGTGCTGAATGTTATTTTGAATCACTTGGATATTATTTAAAACATTTAGAATAGAGACATACATAAATAAGCAACTTTTCAAGTCATATCTGTCAAACGAGACAAAGGCAAAATCAAAATTTACTGACTGTTACAGTTATTCTGCATTGTAAATATGTCAGATATATTCTAACATTTTGGAATCTTACCAGAATCAGCTGATTCTTGGAGTAATGGGGGTTGATGTCTCTTTGGAGGACATAAAAAAACTGACACCCCGATTTACGGTAAGTTGCTTGCTTTGATGGTTTCCTTTATGTATGATTTATGTAAGATTTCTCTTCATGCTCTTTCATTAGTCATACAGCAATGACTGGATGTGAGTCAAAATACCAGCAGGCTTCTTTTCATATATTCTTTTCCATTGTTGTAGATTTTCTGACGGTTTTCTCTCCAGCCATATATGTGTTTGTGTGTGAATTGTCCATCAAGATGCATCTGTAAAGGCAACTTTTATATTGGGGGATATATTCCAAGTAATTATTTTCCTGTAGCTTAAAGCACTGCTTTTTAAGTGCTTGGTTCTTACCACAGTGTAGAGTACATGATCATTTGAGCTAGTAATAATATTTAGCATTTATATAGGACAGTTTGTTATGGAAGAGTTCTTTAATATACATATCTCTCTATAGCCTTCTCAGTATGATTGTTTTACTGGAATGGGTTGCCCAAGGAAGTTGTGAATGCTCCATCCCTCGCAGTGTTCAAGGGCAGGTTGGACAGAGCCTTGGGTGACATAGTTTAGTGTGTGGTGTCCCTGCCCATGGCAGGGGGGTTGGACCTAGATGATCTTAAGGTCCTTTCCAACCCAAACCATTCTGTGATTCTGTGATTCTATATATGTAGACATCTATCCAGGGGATTTCAAAGAAAACAACTAGTACTGTGGAAAACAGCTGAGGAAGCATAGGAACATCATGAATTTGACTGAAGGCAAATTCAGTGGCCTGCATTTAGAATGGAATAATCCTATGCCATAGTACAAGCTGGGACAAGCTTTCCTGCCTCAAAAGGCAGGAAAAGGCCTGAGGGTCATGGTGGAGGACAAGCTGAACGTAAGTTAGCAGTGTGTAGCAGTGTGCCCTTGCAGAGTAACGTGTCCAAGTTTGGTCTCTCCTAGCATAAGAAATAAACTGAGGTGCTGGGCAGAGTCCAGTGCAGATCCACCAAGTTGGCCAAGGGGCTGGGGTACACTGTGTATGAGAAGAAGCTGAGAGACATGGGTTTATTCAGACTGAAAAAGAACCTAATGAGTTACCTAATGGGAGTTATAGAGAAGATGGACCTTGACATTTCTTAAAGGTTTACAGCAACAGACAAGAGACAATCAACATAATGGTGCAATGGAAGTTCCAACTGGAAATAAGGAAGAAAAATCTTTGTGAGGATGGTTTAACACTGGAACAGGTTGTGGAATCACCAATGAAGATATTCAGAGACCCTTTGAAACGTAGTCCAACTTCAAAGTTGGATCATATTTTGAAGTTAGCTCAGCTTCCAGTAAAGGGTTGTACTCTGAAGGTGACCTCCAGAGTTTAACAGCCAAAATTATCCTCCAAATTTATGATTCTAGAAGAAATTATCTTCTCTGTGTTAATATCTCATATATTTCATGATGCTTGAGACAATGTATGTTCCTCAGGGTGACCACTGCTTGAAAACCATTGATTAATCTTTTGTTATTACTTTAAACCTTGTAATACTAAACTTCATTTCTTTCTTTCAGCTTTGTCCAAACGGATACTATTTTGCAATTGATCCTAATGGGTATGTGCTACTTCATCCAAATCTCCAACCAAAGGTATGAAAACCCTTCTGATTTATTATGCTGTAATAAGGGGACATTGTCAGAAATAACAGAAACTAAGATCTGCCAGAGAACAGTAGTAAAGAATTCTTAGTTGTGTGGAAGTCAGGAAAATCTGTGGTGCATTTATGGCTTCATATAAGTCCTTTTTAGTCAAGACAAAGGTCAGCATTAGCTTGTGTCAAATTTGGTTATCCATAAAATAAAAAATGTTTATTTCACACTTACATATGTGAAATAAGTGTTTTAATATACATATTGATATGAAACCAACTAGTGGTAGCTGTAATATTGTTGTGAAGAACTTGTAGTGTGTTATGAGATGCTCTCGAGGCAAACTGAGTTTACTAGTGCACATGCTTATTTTGTGATGCTTTCTCATTTCAAAATTGGAAACTTTCATACTTGCAGAAAACAGGGACAAAACCCAATGTATTTAACTTGTATTTTCATATTTATTTATCTGTTTATTTTCTGTTAACCAGAGCTGAAACCTGAATTGCAGAGCTGGGATAGATCTAGCCGAGCACTACGTCCCACAATGCTAGATCTTTCAGTAGTTCAACTTGAGAAAGGTCTTTCATCCTTAAAGATGAAATCTTTATCTAAATTTGATTAGGACATGACTTTACTCAAATTTCAGGAAGATTTAAACCCAAGACTTAAGTCTGCTTTTATATCAATTGACTGTAGTCCTGACTTTGTGGTGACTTCTTCTTAAATAACTTGCCTCCTTGGCTTTGATGAGATATTTCAAAATGAATGGATGATTTTCTTTAGCAAAGGGTTTCTCCATATCCAACAGTCTTCTGTTTAGTGGACTATTTGAAAATGCTTGTATTTTAAATAATTTCAACATATTTTGTCACTTGAATTGATAGTGCCCAAATGACACATTATATCAAACATAAGGTTAATATTTAATTAAATAAAAATTGTATGGATTATTTACAAATATTAAGTTAGAAATAATAATGAATCACTGTAAGTACTGAAGACCAAAGAATATATCCATGTTATTCAGTTATCAATATTAAAATTGCTTATTACGATGGTTTGAGCAATATATGTCCAAGATAAATGCAAACTGTCAATACACAGGCAAATGAAGGTAGTAAGGCTTTTAAACTTCGGTGGCACCCTACTCCTGTTATTTTTTAGCACTCAGTGTAATTTAGAGAAAAATCTTAAGTATAGAAGCCTATATTTACTGTCTTTAGGCGTGGAAATACTGCTTTTTGTAAATTGGATGCATATCCCTCATTTTATTCCTCCCAGCAATGTTCATGTGGCTAGAATAACAGGTCAATAACATTGATCTCTAGGCCGTGCAATTGTCTTCTCTTGACTCTTAACCAGAAAGCCCTATCCCATCTACAAGAGGGATAGCAGATCCCTTTTTCAGAACTTCAGCATCTTTAACTGTTAAAGGTGGAAAAAGAAATTAAGAATTCATCCACATATTTTAGTGATTCATTAAATTTTTAAGCTTGGGGAAGTCGACTTTGTAACTGCTTGAATTAATTTCCTGGTGAAGTAATGAATATGTTTGAGATCTTTTGCCAAGTGTGTAACTAAAGAAGAAAGGAAAAAAATGCTTTTAAAGAAGAGAAAGAATAACTTGATCTTAGGGCTGTTGGTTGATGAGAAGCATAACATGAGCTGGCAGTGTGCACTTGCAGCCCAGAAAGCCAACTGTATCCTGGGCTGCATCAAAAAAAGCGTGGCCAGCAGGTCAAAGGAGGTGACCCTGCCCCTCTACTCTGCTCTTGTGAGGCCTCACTTGGAGTATTGTGTCCAGTTCTGGTGTCCTCAACATAAAAAGGACATGGAGCTGGTGGAGCAAGTCCAGAGGAGGGCCATGAGGATGATAAAAGGACTGGAGCACCTCCCGTATGAAGACAGTCTGAGAAAGTTGGGGCTGTTCAGCCTGGAGAAGAGAAGGCTGCGTGGAGACCTCATAGCAGCCTTTTGGTATCTGAGGGGGGCCTATAAGAATGCTGGGGAGGGACTCTTCATTAGGAACTGTAGTGGTAGGACAAGGGGTAATGGCTGCAAACTTAAACAGGTGAAGTTTAGATTATATATAAAGAAGAAGTTCTTTACAGTGAGGGTGGTGAGGGACTGGAATGGGTTAACCAAGGAAGTTGTGAATGCTCCACCCCTGGAGGTGTTCAAGGCCAGGTTGGACAGAGCCTTGGTTTAGTGCAAGCTGTCCCTGCTCATGGCAGGGGGGTTGGAACTAGATGATCTTAAGGTCCTTTCCAACTCTAACATTTCTATGATTCTATAATCTTAACTATTGATGAAATACCCCTTTTCATTTATTTTGAAAGGACCCGTTATAACAAACAATAGAAGAAAGAAAAGAAAAAGAAGTTTTTTATTTAGTCTTGATAATTTAGAAGATCTTCAGTTTCTGGATACGTGCATAAGGTTTTCTATGTGTTAAAAACATGAAAGTTTTGATTTTATGACTTGATGAATGTCGTGGTTTAAGCCCAGCCGGTAACTCAGAACCACACAGCCACTTGCTCACTTCCCCCCCTTCTTCCTTCCCCCGCTCCCGGAGGGATGGGGAGGAGAATCGGAGGAATGTAACTCCCAAGGGCTGAGATAAGAGCACTCCAGTAACTAAGGTATAGTACAAACCACTACTGCTACCAATAATAATGATAATGATAAGAGCAGAAACAATTGCTCACCACCCACCGACCGATACCCAGCCCGACCTGAGCAGTGATCTGGGCCTTCTGGGTGACTCCCCCCCAGTTTCTATACTGAGCATGACGTGCTGTGGTATGGAATAGCCCTTTGGCCAGTTTGGGTCAGGTGTCCTGTCTCTGCTTCCTCCTGGCTTCCCCTCCTCTCTGGCAGAGCATGAGACTGAGAAAGTCCTTGGTCACAGTAAACATTACTTAGCAACAACTAAAACCATCATTGTTATCAGCGTTGTTCCCAGGCTGAAAGTCAAAAACACAGCCCTGCACCAGCTACTAAGAAGGATAAAGAATGACTGCTATAGCTGAACCCAGGACAATGAATCATTCTGAGCCAAATATATGTGTCATTACTGACCAAATTATTTCTTCATTAGAGATTATTAGAAATTAACATGATGGCAAATGGTCTATTTTTAATTCTTTTTTCTTATGTAGAAATGAAACTATATTTTTGTTAACAGAAGGAATCTGAAATTAAGCAATATAGTAGTCTCATTTTAGGAACCATCTTGTGAGGATGGGTTCTGGTCATCTCACATATATTATTATACTGCCATGTAAACTCGTAACACTGAAGAATAAAGAACCTTTGTTAGAGAGTGAAAAACTCGGTTCATCCCAGCTAAATCTAGGCAGAATGAAATGGGTTATTAGGATACTAGTTGTCATGGTTCCTCTGTATAGTTTTCTAGCCTAGAAGAATATGGAAGTCCGGAGATGGTTTCACTACTGTTCGAATGTTTAATTTAGAGTATGTTTAAAAAAGTATATTTTGTGTTTTGTGTTGTAGAATAATGTCTAAATGTAATACTAAGAATATGAATTATTATTGTTGTTATTGTTGTTATTAACAGTTACAAAGACTAGACTTTTTCACTCCCAGTTTGTTTGGGGTGATGCATGCTATTCAGACTGATACAAGAACTACGTTTTAAAACTAAGGTACACTACGAAGACATATATTTAGAACTCATGGGCTTTCTTTAACATGTCATATTAATTTTAGTTGAATCTCCTAGTAGCTGTTAACTTATTAACAAACATCTTAACCCTCTTTGCCAGCAGTTTTTCGATAGATGTAAACTAAAATATAAGTACATCTTTACCTTTGAGGAGGTGAGGGTGTATTATGCTTTCAGTAGTCCCTTCTTCTGAATGTCTTCTGCTTTCC